CCAGGGTCCTGGGATCGAGTCCCGCATCGGGCTCCCTGCTCTGCGGGGAGCCTGCTTCTCCCTCTGTCTCTCTCTCTCTCTCTGTCTCTCATGAATAAATAAATGAAATCTTTAAAAAAAAAAAAGAAAAAAAAGCTATAGTTATTCAACTGGAGAATCCTGCCATTTAAAGAACTCATGGATGCTTCTTTTTTGTAAGGCAGCGAATCACCTCATAAAAGTTACCCACTTTTGCGCATATATATATATATATATTTATATTTACATATGCCAATATTTATATATGCCAAAATCAACAGGGGTTGATTTTGCTCCTCAAGAGAGCAATGTCTGGAGACATTTTCGTTGTTGCAACTAAACTAGATGCTACTTGCATTCTAGTGGGTAGAGGAGAGGACAGTGATGCTCTGAATATCCTACAGTGCATAGGATAGACCCCCACAACAGAGAATTATCCACCCCAAAATTACCCAGCAGAGTGCACAGGATAGACCCCCACAACGGAGAATTATCCAGCCCAAAATTACCTAACCCAAAATCCAGAGAAGAGAAAATAAGAAGAGAAGATGAGGTTTGTAGCTTCATGATAAATGTAAAACATTCAAATATAAATGCTCAGCATTTGTCTTCCTAGAATGCTTTTCTTCAGGGCCTTGTGACAAATGCCTGCATGTTTTCAAAACATAGCTAAAATATTACCTCCTCAGTGGAGTCCTTTCAGTATATGTGCTGCCGAAGCGAGCACTCAGTGGAGTCCTTTCAAATTCCTTCCAAGTAGAGAGACCCTTCTCTATGCTTCTATACCTAACCTTCTACATACCTCTTTTAAAGCATTATCATATTGTATGTATTCAAAAGAACGTATCAGCATTTCATTTTTAATTCTGTTTATTTAATTTATTTGAATAAATAATGCATTCACATGATTCAAGCATGAGAAGTGCCCTTGTCATACTTGTCTCCCATCTACTTGTTTACCCTCCCCTACACACACAAAGGTAACCATGTTACTACTCTCATTATGAATCTTTCCAAATTTATGGGTAATTTTAGTAATTCAGTAAGCAAACTGAATATATATTTGTATTTTCCTAACTTTTTATCAAAATGGGTTCATATTCTACCAATATCTCTATTAAGATGCTGATCAATAAATATTTATTAAAAGAAGGAGCATACTGGTAAAACAGGATTTTTCTTTCTTTATCCCAGAGGGGTCCTCCCTGGCTCCACTCAACAGAGGTAATCTAGATTGGGGTCACAATTAAAAATTCTCATCCACTCTCTTACCAAAAAAGAGTAGAGTGTAGTCTATAAATTGCAGTGCCTGTTTTCAAAATGACTCTGATCTCTCCAGAAAGCAGAAATTCTTACCAGAGTAATGCAGTTTAACCAACATTGTGAGAAAACACAAAATCTTTTGGCCATGGAGCACGCTAAAATGATGGGATTAATTATCTAGATGGAATATCAGATTTCTTGTCAGTCTCATGTGACTAACGTGATTCAGATGTAAATGTGCTTAATAATACAAAATTGTCTCTTATTTCTATGTCTCAGTTTTTTTAAAAGAGTTGCAAAAGATTAGTAGAGTTTTTAAATGTAATTTAGATTGTTTAAGTAGATTTCTTCCTACTGGTAATTGTTGTATAAAAAAAAAAAGATTCAGGGAAAAAATTACCTATTTGGTAGGATCCAGAAAGTTCTGACAGGTTCAATCAATTCACATCAGGCAGAAGGTAAGTCATATAAGATAAATGTACACTTCCCCCTAGAAACAAATTACCTGGGGCAGTTTTTCAAAATCAGTGATCCTCTTAGATGAAAACAAATTGTTTTACTTGATAAATGAGATTCCTCAAACTGCCAACTATGTGGTGCACTGAAAATAGATTTAATTTACTTCTATCTGTGAGTTTGTTGTTTGTTCTAAGATAAAACAATCACAACTGCAGTAGGAAAGACAGATGAAACACACTGATGAAAGTAAGTGATCAAGCAGGGACATTGATGATCCCTTGCGAACTGTAATGACTAGATTTTTACTTGGCACTTGATAAACAAAGCTCATTTCGAGGTATAATTTAAATGATTTTTAGGTCTTTTGTCTTTTGGAAGTATTAACAATAGCAATGGCGTAGTAAGAAATATGATGCTGAGTTTCAGAAGATGAAGTCCAATCTTGGCTTTGTTCCTGAAGAGCTATGGGTTTCATTCACGTCCTTGATCTCTGGTTTTCAGTCTTAAATGAGGGGATCAGATCCATATTATCAGATAATTTGCTGTATGTGGTTAAGATCCCTTTCAGCTATGAAATTATTTCAGTAAAATAAAGAAAATAAAAACAGTAGTCATCTGGCTTCCTAAATCATGATTATTTTATGATAGTTGGGTGAAATGGAGGTAATTATGAGATCTCTGATTGATTGAAAATCAGAACATAAAAAATTTGAAAGCTTTCATTTAAGTAGTTTAGTTTCTTTTTCTGTGAAACAAGTTCACCTTAACAATTGGTATCTGTCAGTTTACTATTTGGATATTTTGTTGGCTTGTCATTCTTTCTTTTTTTTTTTTTTTTAACTCTGTTAACTTGCTGAGGGTTTTATTTTGACCATACGGTGTGGCACTTGTGGTGATCAAAATACAGTGTAGATTGAGTTGGCTGCCATCCTGAAAGAAAATACCTGTTAAATTTTCCTGGGTTGTAACACTAATTGTAGTGCATTGCATATGCAAGCGAAAGTCTTATATTTTAATAATTTTGCCATTTAAATTTGGAGTAACAATAATCACTTTAAGTACTGACCTAGATAAGAAAGATAATAAAGTGTCTTTCTTTGGGTTGTTAACATGTATGTTTTATTTATAAAGTATAATATAATAAATTCTGGATACTTTTGACTACTTTAGAATGTGATAACCTGGACAAAACTTGGGTTTTTATATGCTTTCTAAAGAAATTAACCAAGATATTAGAAAAAAATGTTCAAAGAAGTAGAAAAAACCTCAGTGAAGTGGGAGATAAACACCTGGAGAAAAAATAGGCCTGGTAATTTTCAGAGATGATGCTTCCTTATTTCAAACATAGGCCATCTATTTATTAGCCTTGTTTTTCTCTTCCGACCTTGAAAGAAAGCCCTTCAAAAACAGGGCTGTTATCTTCAAATATAATATTAACTGATACTCTCTTTGATTATAGTATTCTTACCTGGCTTTTTTTTCTAAATCACTGTACAGACTGTCGTGAAGAAAAGAAAGTCTTAAATGGTAAGTCATATATGTTTATGGTAAAAAATGGATCATATTCACATGAGTTAAGTTACCTTCACATACAAAATTGCTTTACAGAATTATTTGGGGTAGTATTTTGATATTTTTTTTATACAAAAGATGTCTTCACTTGCCTTAGAGGATTTGGCAGAACATTTTAGATCCCTTATTCCAGCCATTACTCTTACAGTAAGTAAGTAGTCTCTCCTGTAACATCCCTGAACATGTGTTCATCTGCCTGCAGCTTGAATATTTGTAGTGATGAGGAGTTCTACCCACAGAAACAAGATTGAGCAAGCCACATCCCTCCGGCATGGAGCTCAACACCAGTGTTTACATATAGATGCTGAGTAGCCTATTAAACTTCTTTACCAGGCTCAACAGCTCTGGCTTCTTCAGCCATTCAGTTTGACTCAGAATTATAGCTGCCAATGTCCACCGTGCACCTACCCCCCCGCCCCCGACGCCCGCCATCCACAAAAAACAAAATAAGTATGGTGTAGGGGTCAGTATTGACTCTTAGGAAATGCCTGGGGCTACTCCGATTGCACTATTTTATAGGGTTTTTTCTCCATATTTGTAAAAGAAACATAGAAATATAGCTACAAGCTAGATTGCCAAATTACCTTTTCTTTTTTAACTTGAGAAAATAGACTATATTGTAGACTTACTTATTGCAGTTTGTGATGTAATACCAGAAGCTTTTTGTCTGATAGTGTAGCACTGCTTTCAATGAAGGGCTGATCTTAGGTTTCATCTGATGATTGACTCTTTTGTGATACTAGGCATACAATCTTCGCTTAAAGATTCATTACTGATGGACTGGGCATTTCCATTCCCACCACATATGACTTCCAGAACCTTTACTTTCCTATCGCCCTCCTCTGGATGCACTATATTTAAGTAATACCTTGGTTCAAGATGGTCTTGAGAATGGAATATTAACATTTCACAAGTGATCTGGCCAGCACAGTTACCTATTTTGATCTTGGATTCTCTAGGATTGTAATATTTATATTTATTAGCTGTTTCTCATATTTGGCTCATTTAAGTCTATGTGGTAAGTCTTGTGTATTTGCAGATGTGATGTCTGCCTGCAATGTCATTATTCAAACAGCTTTTTAAATCCTGAATGAGTTAAACTGCTATGGTAATCCACTAGAGAACTGATCCCTTCAAATTAACATCAGTCATCAAGCAGCACTTATGGGGAGGAGAATGTTCATTTAGTCCACTAACTTTAATTAACTGTTTTACTCAACCCCATATTCACCACAGATTCCTTCAGCTTTTCTAGAAGGATATTATATATAAGATGTTTTGTTTTGCTTGGTAAATGTTGAAATCAAGACACATTCCACAGCCTATGACATTATTCTGTTCTAAAAAGTTATATTTGTATGGCACCATATAGTTTTTTAGAAGGTGTGGAAATCGGCTCATTTGCTTTCTCATGAGATTGCAGGGCAGATTTCTTTACTAGTTTGAATTCGAGGAAGCAGAAATGGTGGTTTTTGTAAGATCACAGTGCTGACACCTCAAGTCCAGAATTCTTGGTCCTAATCAGGTCTTAATAAGATCAAAATTGGCTAACAATCTGTGAATCCTGTTGATAGCTTTTTCTTATACAAATTGTTAGATTGTGATGCATTTGTTTCTTATTTATATAAGTCCTCTAAAAGATAAATGACATTAATCTCTTAGTAAAATATCTTTCCAGTGATTTTCAAATACTTTGATAAGATTATCTTTTCTTATTTTTTGTCATTTTAGACAAAAATACATTTTAATTATTATAGTCCTGTTGTTATACTTTTAGTTTTCTAGTAAAGCATTCTTCTTTAGGGTTCACCACTTGTTAGTTCATAACTTTGGCTTTGTTATGTCACATCTCTGAGACTTCCTTTGTTTATCTGAAAGTTAATTGAGTTACATAGGAAGAGATGGAAACTGAGTACAAGGCTTGAGCTCAGGACTGATGATCAGCCTCATCCCCCAAAATATGGCTGTTTGATATACTGTGCTTGCATTTAAGTTGGGTTTAAACAGAAGCTTCTTGGCCAGAAAGAATCCTGGAAACCTCTAAACTAGCCTGTCTGAAAGGTGCCTCTCCTCTCTGACTTTATATAATTACTATGACTTCTAATGTGAGAATTCTAAGACTCACCAGAGACTAAACATAAAATTTGTTTTCCTGCAGAGTTTGAGGAATAGAAATGTAATTGATACGGTGATTTTCAAAAGTCTTTTAGCAGCAGTCCTCCTTTTTTCCAAACTGAACCTTACAGGTAACAAACAATGCACTCCTGTTGTGGGAGGGAAATACTTAATGCTTCCAGAATCTCCAGAGCTCTTCCACGTCTCAGAGTTTTCATTTGAAAACCACAGTTTTAGTGGGCTTTTAAAATGCTGTGTTGACGCATGCCCACAAGAATGACTAAGATGGAAAAAGACAACACCATGTGTCATTGAGGTTGTGGAGCATCTGGAACTCAGACGTTTCTGGTAAAAAAGTGTAAATCGGTACAACCACTTTGGAAAAGCATTTAGCAGCATCTACTAAAGCTGAACATACACATAGCTTATAAACTTACCAGAAATGTGGATATACGTTCTTTAAGAATGTACATGTACATATACAAGAATGTTTATAACAGTGCTATTTGTGTCTAATAGCCAAAAACTGGAAACAACCCAAATGTCCATCAACAGGAGAATGTATAAATTCTCGTATATTTATACAATGTAGTAATGCCTAGTAATAAAAAGGAACAAACTACTGTTGCATTCAACAGCAGGGGTAAAATCTGAGAAACCTCCAGGTTTGACTTACTGCTTACTATCAATCATGCTTATTTGATGTAAGGCCTGTAATGCAGGACAAAAAAAGCCAGACCAAAAGAGAAAATATCTTATGATTACATTTTATAAAGGTCAAATATAGGCAAAAGCTAATGATGCTAGAAGTCAGAATAATGGGTACCCTTGGAGGAGAGGTGGTGATTAGAAGGGGGCATAGGATGGGTGCTAACTACAAGGGTATGTTTTACTTTATGAAAATTCATTACGTAGTACATCTATGATTTGTGTCCTTTTATGACATTTTAATACCTTTACTAAAAAGCAAAAAAAGATAAATATGCTTTCTAGATGAACTGTAGCTCTTTTGTTTTTCTTTGTGAAGGCATGCTTCCCAAGAGCCAAGTGTCAGATACACTTGCCAAAGAAGGTCCTAGTTCTCCAAGGTATGCATTCTTGTTTTGCTTTTTTAAAGCTAAATCAGTTCTATACCAAAACATACACATTAAAAAAAAATAAACAGCTCTGACTTTGAGTTATTGCCTACTATATTAATCATGCATCTTTGACACAAGAACTGTAGTGTCCCATTTATCAGGCATTGTTGGAGAATGAGCTGTTTTCTGCAAATGTGAATTTTTAGTATAACTGAAGTTTGATGCAATTTAAAAACCATTGTGTTTAAATCTTCATGTTTAAAAAAAACTTTAAACTTCAAAAACTTCAAAAATATTTTTAACTTTAAAAAACTATTCAAAAATTTTATTTTCTGATTATAAAGTATACATTCTTGGTAGAAAACTTGAAAAATACAGATAAATACAAAAAAGCAGATGATAAAATCAGTCATAATCTATCAACTCTAGATATATACTTAATATTTGGTTTATTCTACCCAGTTTGATTTGTATAACACCTATTTCTGTGTTATTCTATTTTGATAATACTGGCATTGCAATGTATTCTGTGAGCAATTTCCTATGTCATTAAATATTCTGCAAAAGCATTTTTTGTCTGCCTTCCATCATATGACCATACCATAATTTATTCAACTACTATATTCTGTTTTTAAAGTGTACTGCACAGCAACTGTCTTAGTATATTATTTGATCCATATGTATTTTTGTTACTGTTAACATTTCAGATGCCTTCAGGGTTATGATTATTCTTTGTGATTTTTTTCTCTTTCTGCCTTTCTCTCTACCACCAGCCCATAACAGCAGCATCCTGCTATGTTTGTTAAATCTATTTAAGTATTTCATATACAGTTTTAACTGAAGGGCATGAGGAAACCTCTAGGATTTACCTGTGGGTGTCCTTATGTATGTAATAAGTGCAAAAACAGTATCAGTTTGATGAACACCTATTACAAAACAGAAGTTTTACCTTAAGTTTTCCTGTTGAACCATTAAAAGACCTTGATTAATTAATATCTTGAATAATTTGTGACAGGGAGGAGTGAAGGTAATATGTAGATTTTGTCAGGCTTCTTAAGAAAATATGTTGTGTTACTGCTCTGATAAAAGATTTTAGTAGAATGTAACCTTTCTAAAAAGTATCTTATCAAGGGGCGCCTAGGTGGCTCAGTTGGTTAAACGTCTGCCTTCAGCTCAGGTCCTGATCCTGGGATCAAGCCCAGCATCGGGCTCCCTGCTCGGCGGGAAACCTGCTTCTCCCTCTCCCACTCCCCCTGCTTGTGTTCCCTCTTCGCTGTGTCTCTCTCTGTCAAATAAATAAAATCTTTAAAAAAAAAAAAAGTATCTTTTTTTTTTTCCCCAAAGATTTTATTTATTTATTCATGAGAGATAGAGAGAGAGAGAGGCAGAGGCAGAGGGAGAAGCAGGCTCCCCGCGGAGCAGGGAGCCCGATGCGGGACTCGATCCCAGGAACCTGGGATCATGACCTGAGCTGAAGGCAGACGCTTAACCGACTGAGCCACCCAGGCGTCCCCCCCCCAAAAAAAGTATCTTATCAAGGAGATATTGTTTGTTTTAATCCAAGTTGGAATACATGCGAGTATAGGTATTTTAAATTCAGAAATAATTACCACCTATATAATGGTAGACACCCCCCCCATTATTTAGAAAAAAGTTTACCTAGAGAAATATATTTCTTACTGTAGATTTTAAGCCATATATTTAAAATCATATACTTAATGTTGTCATATTGTATATTTTTAAACCATATATATTTTTAAATCATATATTTAATGATTTAATATATTTAGTACAAGATTGTCAACGTAATTATTCCTTCTTTTAATATTTTACAGCTATGACTGGTTCCAGACAGACTCGTTAGTCACCATTGTCATATATACTAAACAGAAGGTAAACTTTAAAATCAGAAAAAAAGTAAATGCTCAACAAATGTTAGCTATTTTCTAAGCACCCTTATATTAACTTATTTACTCACAGAAACTCCATGGAGTAGCTTAAATAATTTACCCAATGCCACACAGTAAGTGGCAGGTCTAGCATTTTGAACCCAGGCAGGCTGGCTCCAGAGTATATACTCTTAATAACCGTGCTATAGCCTCGTTAAAAAAGCTAGACTAGGAAATATATTATATACTTTGTGTGTGTGTGTTTTAAGCATGGATAACAAAAGTGAGAATCCCAGTTAACTTTATTGTAAGAACTAATTTCCTGCACATAAATTGGGATTTGAGAGACAGTAGAGACTGTATTACTGTGGCTTACTAAGCTTAAACCACTAATGGGATTCAGATGCCCTCTTGAAACTAAAATTAAGGAGACAGTTGATTTACTAAGTACTTATTGAACTCCTACTTTATTTGCAACACTATTTAAGAATTCAGGGATCTAATGATGAGCCACATATGTAGATACTTGGCTTTCATGGGACTTACAGTCTGGGAAATCAGATAAATACACAGACAATGTATAATATCTCCAAATAGATCCTTCAGCAACTGGCAAGGTTCCCACACTTAAGGAACCATGTAAATTTAAAGACAAGTTCTGGCAGCTAGGAATTTCTGAGACCGCATGCTGTGATTTCCCCTGACTGTAGCAGCGTGGAATGACCAGGCTCTCTGCCTGATACAGCCCAGAGGGCCAGAGGCACTGCCTGAACCCCTTCCACTCCCTCTTGTTAGTGTCTCCTCCTCATCATGCAGTCCAAAACCAAGAGGGCACAGCCTAGGGAGGTTGGGGTCTACTCCTGTTGGTAATATCAGTGAGGCACGGGGGATGAATGACTGAGGGAAGGGGGAAGATTTCTATGTGGAATAATGTGCTCAGTGTATGGTATAAATGATAGGTGCCAAGGCTATGTAGAAATTAGAGATATCTAAAAATTTGTTAGTGAATTTTTCTTATAAGCTGAAGTCAGAGGTTGTGTAATTTGCCCAGCATCTTGTAATAGTAGAAAGATTAAAATAAGCATACATATCTTGATTGCTGGTCTGATTCTAATTTTTTCCAAATTATTTATTCAACAAATATTTATTGAGCACCTACTAGGTACTAAGCAATATTCTAGATAGTCCCATACATTTAGAGCTTAGAGATGAGTAGGTGAGGTAGATATTAAGCAGAGACAAATGTATAATTAAAATTGTACTATGTGGGGGTGCCTGGGTGGCTCAGTCGTTAAGCGTCTGCCTGCGGCTCGGGTCATGATCCCAGGGTCCTGGGATCGAGTTCCGCATCGGGCTTCTGGCTCAGCGGGAAGCCTGCTTCTCCCTCTCCCACTCCCCCTGCTTGTGTTCCCTCTCTCGCTGTCTCTCTTTCTCTCTCTCTGTCAAATAAATAAATAAAATCTTTAAAAAAAAAATTGCACTATGTGTTTTGAAGGAGAACTGGGTTGTATGAGAAAAAAAACAGGATTAACTACCTTTACTCATCTTGTGAATTCTATAAAGAAGTGCCATATGCACATCCATGGATCATCTTAAAAGTATAATTGTAGAAATTTGGGGAAAATTTTACTTTTTAATCTTTCTCTTTTTGCTTTCTGTTCAAGGATATTAACTTAGACTCAGTAATAGTTGATCATCAGGATGATTCCTTTAGAGCAGAAACAATTATCAAGGATTATTCATATATTATACATATGGGTAAGTACTTTATATTAATGGAAACAACTCCAGTTTCCTTTAAGGTTGGCAATAACTTGGTCTACAGTCTAGGTAGGCTATAATATTTTATCTGATATTGTCAATTGGTTTGTCACTTTTGATCAATTTCTATTCTGTTTTTTCTTTATACTGATGATAGGGCTAGGAAATGGCAGCATGACCTCATTTTTCCCAAGTTTAAGTAATTGGGCGCAGTCAAAATCAGTCATAATATGAAATATTTGTTTTCCTGGCTTTGTTAAGTGTCTTGTACTTGACACCTACAAACAAATCTCTGGAGGCCTGTCACGTGCTCCTACCAAGCAGCCATCCCGAAGTGCTAGTTCCATGGACCTGGTTTTTGCCGGCTCTGTCATGGGAAGTCAGAGGCTGCAGCATGGACCGTAAGGTTGTGTTGTATTCCTCAGCCGCCTGTTCTTTCATGACGAGAGATCAACTATACAATCACTTCTGTCTGCTTTGAGAAATGAGAGATCAGAAGAAAGAAACCAGGAACTAAAATCTGGAATCAAAAGTACCAGATTCTTAATCTGCTTTTCATCCAAATGACACTAGGATTTCACCCTTTTCTTCTCTAATGAAGGTGATGTTACTCTAGTTAGAAGGTAGAAATGAAGCAATAAAAACAACAACAATAGCAAGAAAATTGTGTTTTAAGCAGGCGTTCTTATATGAAGAACATATCATTTACTTTTGCAAAACAGAGACTGATTCCCCAGACATCAGCTGACTCAGGATTCTGTTCACTGCTTTATTGTATTAATGAAGTATCTTTTGTCTTGAATTTGATCAGAGTTGATAAATGTTTTTTCTTTCCTATTTTCTCCATTTAGTAGATTAATCAAACTAGAACCTTAAACTTTTCTTCTAGAAATAATTTGTCCTATTTTTTCTTAGCATAAGATCTAACGCATAGGGAGGGGTGCCTGGGTGGCTCAATCAGTTAAGTGTCTCACTTTGGCTCAGGTCATGATCTCAAGGTCCTGGGATCAAGCCCTGCATCTGGCTCCCCACTCTTTAGGGGAGTCTGCTTCTCGCTGCCCGCTGCCCCTCCCCCTGCCTGTGCCCTTTCTCTCTCTCATAAATAAAAAAATCTTAAAAGAAAATAAAAGATCTAATGTATATTGCCTCTTAGGGGAGAGTTTTAACCAAACACTCAGATGTCTAGAAAAGTATACGTTACTCATTAGCACTGCATGATTTTTCTTTGAAGTAAAACCTCTGTGCCACCATCTATTATGTTTCAAATACTTTATGGCTAATTTTGTTCCCACTATAGCTAACAATATGTAACACACAATACAAAAGAAACAAAAATTCCATAGTCAAAAAATATGACACTGTTGGATGCTGATATTGGATCGGAAAGACTAAAATAATGTAGAATTGTTAAGTTTCAGATAACCATATTAACACAGTGAAGTTTAGAGCTGATGTCTGTAAAAACATTTCTTGCATCTCTCTCCCCCTTCTGGAATGCAGTTTCCATAATGGCAGCGGTTTTTCTCTTTCATTAACTGTTGTATCGATAATGCCTAGAAAGTAACACATAGATACTCAGTAATTTTCTTTCAATAGCTGAATAAATATTCAACCTTAGAGAACAATAAGAAAGAGAAAATGGAGCCAGACCCAAGCCTGGCCTGTACGCACATCTGTACCTGTGCACACAGTAGAGCGTGCGCGCTGCAGGTGCTGCATCCCTACCTACCCTGCTCCCTTCTTGGCTTGTAAGTTTGTCATTGCGGGACCATGCTTTGGACTAGTGTGGTTACCCACTTGTGGGCAATTGGGGATTTGCTCTTTAGTAGGGAGAGAAATTGAAAAGTTGAAAGCCTGTATGTATTTATATTTAAACAGTTGGACAGTTGGGTTGTGTACAGTTTTTTTCTCCTGGCTATCAGAATATGTTTTACTTATCTTGAGAGATTTGAAATAGTGCATGTAAGAACTGTTTAGATGATCTTACATGGTGTTCATAGACTGTGTGAATTGAAGTTGGATTTTAACTAGACTTATTTTTCTTTCGTAGGGCTAAGTCGTGAAATTCAAGAAGATTTTTCTGGTAAGCTACCAAAAAATAATTATGTGTATATATACACCTACATATATACATACATAGGAAGAGAGAGAGAGAAAGAGAAAATCAGCATTTGTCTCATTTTTCATATGTAGATTTTCATATTGCAAAACAAAGATGTGACATTTTCTGTATAAATAAATACATTAATTTTTTATAAATATGTTCTTCTCCCTCTGGTTTCAGGTTTTTTCTCCGTTTTTTTCTTTCTCCTTGTTCCTTTCATCTTTTTATCCTTTCCTTTTTCTCTCCTAATTTTCTTCTAAAATTCTTGTCTTCTTCCCGTTCTTCCTTCCTTCCTTGTCTCTGCCCTCCTCCTGACATGCAATTTGTAGAAATATACTAGAGCAGACAAATTTTTCTTAGGCATATATACATAAATGTGTAATGTTCACAGAGCATATTAAGTTATGAATATTGCTGCATATAAAAGTACAATGTGGATTTCACAAAGCTGTTTAACAACAGAAGATTCATAGAATAGTGGTTTCTTGTTTTTTTGTCTTTTGTTTTTAGCTCTATTGATGTGTAATTGACAAAATTATAATAGATTTAATTGCATGATGATCTGATATATGTATACATTGTAAAAAGATTCCCACATCCATCACCTCACATATTTCCTTTTTGCGTGTGAGACCGCTGTCTTAGCAAATTGGAATTATACAATATTATCAACGGAGTTACCATGGTTGTACGTTAGGTCCTCAGACTTATTCATGTCTTAACTGAAAGTTTGTACCCTTTTGTCAGCCTCTCCCCATCCCTTACCCCGCCCCCGCCCCCCACCAGCCCGGCAACCACCATTCTACTCTCTTTTTAATGAGTACGTGACTTTTTTTTTCTTTAAAGATACTACATATAAGTGATACCATGCAGTATTATCTTCTCTGTCTGGCTTATTTCATTTAGCCTAAAGCCTCCGGGTTCATATGTTCTTGCAAATGGAAGGATTTCTTTCTTTTTTTTTTAGGCTGAATTATATTTCATTATATAGATATAGATATATAGAGATATATACACACATATATGTGTAAATGTGTATATTTTAAAATATATATATGTAATTTCTTGTTTTAAAGTACTGTCAGAATACCTTACACTGGTTCTGTGCTTTCTCTTTCCTATATATGGTAGCAAGCTCTGTAAATTGTATAAATTAAAATCAAGGACCATGTTTCTGTATTGGTTAAGCTTCAAATCAGTGCTCATTGAAATGAATGTATTTGACTATCTTAAAAAGTTATTGTTAAATTGCTGTTGAATTATGTGTTTACCTTGAGGAATGAATAGATTGTTTCTAAAGACAAACTGAAATATACTTTAGATCCTTAAAAGCATATTCAGTTCATAAACTTTAACCAGTATATAAAAGTCTGTATTTTGTTATTATACCCATATATTTTGAACTCAGTCAAAAATTAAAAGATACCCTAAAAGGTCTTTAATTATTTAAGATTCATATGTACTTTATAATGATTCATGCGGCTTTTTCTTTGTTTACTCGGTTCAGTATTGATCTACTGAATTTATTCACAAGAACCCCTCAGATCCCAATTAAGAAATGGAAGAGTATAAATTAAATTTGCTTTTATAGGTCCACTCAATGACTAATTTGTATATGTTAGCTCCCTCCTTTTTTTTTTTTTTTAAAGCTATGTGTTAAGTACTTGCCACGGCTGTATTTGAGCTTGTATGAAAACTAGCAATACATGTTAGTTTGGCCCTTGATAAATTAGTTTGAAAAACGTTAATTTGATTCATAAAATAAAATAAGCTGGATTTAATATCATTTAAGGCATAAACAATTTTGACGAATATGTATAGATCTTTTCTTACTAATAATGATCCTTGTTATTCGTATCAGATCAGGACATTTGTATTGTTTGAGAAAGACTGATTTTAAAGTAATGTGTTATATTTAGTTTCAATGAATACAAATGGAATTTATCTTCTTTTTAGTGCGGGTTGTTGAGAATGTGGGAAAAATAGAGATTGTGCTAAAGAAAAAAGAGAATACTTCTTGGAAACGTCTTGGTCACCCCCTAGAGAATCATAATTTACTTATTCCAAAGAAAGATACAGGTATGCTGCACTATTATTTTGTGTCCTGTGTTCATAAAATTGTTGTGTCAGTGGTGCAATTGTACCAGAGTTTGGAAGGCTGTTTTGGGAGGGGCCAAAGGGCCCTTGTATCTCCCTGTAAGAAGTTGTAAAAGGACATTGTATCTGTTTTCCTCCTTTTATCAAATTGAGATATGATTGACATATAATATACTAGTTTCTGGTATATAACAATGATTTGATATTTATAGACTTTGTGAAATGATCATCACAGTAAGTCTAGTTAACATCCATCACTGTACAGTCACAAAAACTTTTTTTTCTTGTGATGAGCTCTTTTAAAATCTGCTTTCTTAGCAACTTTCAAATATTCATTACTGTATTATTAACTGTAATCACCATGTAGTATGTTATGTCCCCATGATTTATTTATTTTATAGCTGGAAGTTTGTACCTTTTAACCCTCTTCACATATTTTGCCCACCCCACCACCTCCACCTCTGCCAACCACCAGTCTGTTTTCTGTATCTATGAGCTTGGGTTTGTTTATTTGTTGTGTTTCGTTTTTTTAGATTCCATATGTAAGTGAGATCGTACAGTATTCGTCTCTCTGTGTCTGACTTGTTTCACTTAGCGTAATATCCTCAAGAGCCATCCGTGTTGTTGCAAGTGGCAGGCCTTTATTCTTTTTTAAAATAGCTATATCTGTATATACATACATACCATATCTTCTTTATCCATTCATTTATCAGTGGACACTTAGGTTGCTTCCATATCTTGGCTACTGTACATAATGCTGCGATGAACATGGAGGTACACATATATTTCCAAATTAGTGTCTTCATTTTCTTCAGATAAATACCCAGAAGTGGCATACTGGATCATATGGTACTTCTATTTTTAATTTTCTGAGAAACCTCCATGCTGTTTCCCATAGTGGCTGCACCAATTTACATTCCCTCCAGCAGTGCATAACGATACCCTTTTCTCCGCATCTTTGCCAACACTTGTGATTTCTTGTCCTTTTGATAATAGCCATTCTCACAGGTGTGAGGTGATATAGCTCATTGTGGTTTTAATTTACATTTCCCTGGTGGTTAGTGATGTTGAGCACCTTTTCATGTACTTATTGGCCATCTGTATGTCCTCTTTGGAAAAATGTCTCTTTGGGTCCTTTGAATTTTGTTTTTAGATTTTTAATCTATTTTTTAATTGATTGTGTTTTTGCTATTGAGTTGTATGAGTTTTTTTTATATATTTTGGATATTAATCTTTTATCAGATATAAGATTTGCAAATATTTTCTCCCATTCAGGTTTCCTTTTCATTTTGTTGATGGTTTTCTTTTTTAATTTTTTATTTAAATTCAATTTAGTTAACATATACTGTATTATTAGTTTCAGGGGTAGCTTTTAGTGATTCATCAGTTGCATATAACATCCAGTGCTCATTACATCAAGTGCCCTCCTTAATATCCATCACCCAATTATCCCATTTCCCCCACCCACCTCCCCTCCAGCAATCCTCAGTTTGTTTCCTATAGTTAAGAGTCTCTTATGGTTTGCCTCCCTCTCTATTTTCATCTTATTTTATTTTCCTTCTCTTCCCCTATGTTCATCTGTTTTGTTTCTTAAATTCCACATATGAGTGAAATCATACGGTATTTGTCTTTCTCAGACTGACTTATATTGCTTAGCATAATATCCTGTTGTTCCATCCATGTCATTGCAAATGACTAGCTTTCATTCTTTTTGATGGCTGAGTAATATTCCATTACACACACACACACACACACACACACACACACATCTTCTTTATCCGTTCATCTATTGATGAATATCTGGGCTCTTTCCATTTTTTGGCTATTGTAAATATTGCTGCTATAAACGATAGGGTGCGTGTGCCCCTTTGAAACTCTATGTTTGTATCCTTCGGATAAATACCCAGTAGTGCAATTGCTGGGTCAAAGGGCAGCTCTATTTTTAACTTCTTGAGGATCCTCCGTACCGTTTTCCAGAGTGGCTGTATCAGTTCGCATTCCCACCAATGTAAGAGGGTTCCCCTTTCTCCACATCCTCGCCAACATCTGAGTTGTTAATTTTAACCATTCTGACCAGTGTGAGGTGGTATCTCATTGTGGTTTTGATTTGTATTTCCCTGATACTGAGTGATGCTGAGCAATTTTTCATGTGTCTGTTGGCCATTGTATTTCTTCTTTGGAGAAGTGTCTGTTCATGTCTTCTGCCCATTTCTTGACTGGATTATTTGTTTTTTTTGGTGTTGAGTTTGTTGCAAATATTGTTGATGGTTTTCTTTTCCGTGTAGAAGCTTTTTAGTTTGATGTAGTGTCCCACTTTATTTTTGCTTTTGTTGCCTTTGATTTTGATGTCAGGTCCAAAAAATCATTGCTAGGATCAACGTCAAGGAGCTTACCATCTGTTTTCTTCTAGGAGTGGGTGGTTTCAGGTCTTACATTCCTGTCTTTAATCTACTTTAATTTTTGTGTATGGTATAAGATAATAAGCTATTTTCATTATTTTGCCTGTGGTGTCCTATTTTCCTAGCACCATTTATTTGAAGGGACTGTCCTTTCCCCATTGTATATATTCTTGCATCTTTTGTCATAAATTATATAATCAGTTGACATGTATATATATATATATCAATATGGGTTTATTTCTGGGTTCTCTGTTCTGTTCTATTGATCTATATGTCTGTTTTTATGGCTACTATACTGTTTTGCTTACTATAGCTTTGTGGTATAGTTTGAAAACTGGGAGTATGGTACCTCCAGCTTTGTTCATTATCAGGATTGCTTTGGCTATTTGAGGGTTTTCTGATTCCATACAAATTTTAGGATTAATTATTTTAGTTCTGTGAAACATACTATTGGTATTTTGATAGTGATTACACTGAATCTGTAGATTCCTTTGGGTAGTATGGACATTTTTTTAAAACAATATTCATGGATTCCTACCATTCATTAGCACAGTATTTTTTTCCATTTATTTGTCATCTTCAGTTTCTTCCATCTATATCTTATAGTTTTCAGAGTACAGGTTTTTCACCTCCTTGGTTAAATTTATTCCTAGGTATTGGGGCGCCTGGGTGGCTCAGTCGTTAAGCGTCTGCCTTCGACTCAGGTCATGATCCCAGGGTCCTGGGATCGAGTCCCACATCGGGCTCCCTGCTCGGCAGGAAGCCTGCTTCTCCCTCTCCCACTCCCCCTGCTT